TAATTGATTACTATAGACATATAGTGACCCAATTAAGTTAGATATTTATGCAAGCATCTTGACAACTATTGTGAAGTCAACTTTTCTAGTTAGAAAAATATGAATGTTGGTTATAAGGTTGACACAACTTATTTAGAATATCTTGTATGAATCAAAATTCACTATATTTTTTTGGACAACAAGGTGTTTGTCACTGAATATAGAACAACCTTTTACACATTTTGTAAGAAGATATCTTTATACATATGCAAAATGTTGATTAGCAAGATAAAACTAAAGATCCATATATGATAACCAATTTGTTGCTATGATATGCAATACTATTCACAGTTTTACTATCAAATGTTGATAAAATTTTATAAAATACATAATAATCAAACATTTAAGATAATCACGATATTACCACAACAAAGTCTTCATTCATTGTAAATCCTGCTACGTAGCGTTGGCATCGGTTCACTTAATTAAGTAATAAAGAAAGTTTGAGCACCACATTGTTCATTTGCTTTTTTCATTTTACAATACTATAAAGATTAATGTGACACCACTATGCCCTAAATCAATAGAGAAAGCATTGAGCATTCCAAGTAAGTGTGAAAACATCCCTAACCTAAATAAAATTTACTGGGTCCTCAATTAATATAGCTACTACAAATTATATCAACCTACGCATAAATGTAACTACTGGGTGCGTAATGAGTAATGAATGAGAGCTAGAATTGGTTAGACAGTGGCAGTAAAGACATGAAGTTGAGCTTGGAGCCATGAAGAGGAGATCGATGAACAGCAAAGCAAAAAGGATCACAATGCATTTAAATACGGAGAACAGCCAGTTGTATCCATTAGTATGCAGGGTCCCAATTCCGTCGGTGAGAAAGTAAGCGTTTCACTGCCACACACACCTTGCTTGGATGATGGAACCATCTCTCTTGCCCTTTTGTTTTTTCTCTTTTAAATTTTAATTGGTACATTTCTCTTTTACGTTAGTATCTTCCAGTTTCATGCATATGACATGCTAGCTCACACTGCCATAGGGCTCAACGTATGGGTATGCATTAACAAAGCGATAAAAAGGGCAACGATATATGTGAATAGTATACATATAGTAGACCAATATCAACATATAATTATGCTACCAATTAGTGAGTTAAATAGAATGAAAAAAATATATAAAAATTAGAATATATATATATATATATATATGTATGTATGTGATTTGTCTTTTCTTTGAATTAGGAAGCGGGATGGGGATTGTTAGATGGACTAGAAGCTATGATCATGTCTTTTCAATATTGTATGATAAGCTTTCGAATCAAAATATCAGGTGGTCTTCCTATTGATATCTTTATATGGATACTTTGTTCAACAATTATAGGAAAGAACAAGATAATTAGAATCGTTGGTTTGCTAAACATGGTCAACATCATTATCACATTAATTTTGGCATATATAGCCTCATCAGTTACCAAAATCTTTGTCAATGTTAATTCTTTCGCACATTTTTTCCTTTTATTGACTACATATTGTCCTAAAATAAGTTTGTCAAAATTTCTTAAAGGTTTTCAAGGATATGCTGTTTTTAATGTAGACGGTGGGGTGATATGGACTGGCACTGAAGTTCATTTAAAGCCAACTGCTCCGGAAGATTGTCATTAAAAGGACTGATCTAATGGCACGCAGAATTCAACTTACAAGCAATTCTCGAGTCACAAAGAGTACAGATAGCGCAGAGAGTTGAGTTGAAAAGATAGAGATGGCAAAGTGTTCTATAATCCTTGTACTTACGCTTGCAGTTATTCACCGCAGTACGGCTGCTAGGAATGTGCCTGGTGCCACTGGTCTTGATGACCAAAAGAACTTCGTTGCATTTGGTGGGGTTGGCGGCATTGCTGGAGCAGGCGTTGGCATTGGAGGTGGGGACGGTGTCCTTGGCGGCATTGGGAGTGGAATTGGTGGAGATGGTGGAATCGATGAACTGGTTTAGGAGGCCTTGGTGGCATGGGTGGAGCCACTGGAGGTCTTGGAGGACTCGGCAGTGGAATTGGTGGCCTTGGCGGTGATGTTGGTGGTCTTGGCACTGGCATTGGTGGTGGAAGTGGAAGTGGTGATTGTGGTGATGGTGGCGCCGGATCCTTGCTTCATCCTTGATTTCTTTTGAGCATTATTCTATGTTTATCGACTTCAGTCTATGTCTAGCAATTGGTGTGAGAGGTTTTTGTCATAACATAGTAATCTGTTTTTATTTTGCTATTTTGAGATTGATTACTATGTCAAGCCTTAAATAATCGTCCAGATGTTTCTTCATTTCTCAATGGTTAGCAGACTTAAAGGAATCTTCTTAGTCTTCGGTTGTTTCAAGTGGAATCAGATGTTCTCACTGAAAGAAAAAAATTGTTGTCCTGCATGCGTGAGCCATGTGGGAGATCATGAAAATGGCCTCTTAATTTAACAGTCAATATCATTGTTGGGGTTTTATAGATATGACTTATGACTAGGTTCAACTACCTACAAGTTTTGCATAACTAATAAGATACTTCGTCATTCACGACAGATAAAGAATTGACTAGAAGTAAAGGCATCTTGGAAATTAATCAATTTGACAATAGTGTCTGGTCCAACCACTTATAGACTTCGATAAATGCACTCACTGACTTTGCAAGGGTGAAAAGGGAATGCTATTACTTATAATGAGTTGTGTAATTGCCATATTAATCAAATTTAGGTGTAGATTGATATCGATAAATTATGACTACCATGATAAATAATTGAAGATTTCCTTGTGTAATTAGGTTCAAAATTAATTTTATAATGAGTTTTTATATTTTTGATTTAATGAAAATCACGTCGGACGGCAATTGGAAGTTGTAGCTGCTTTTGCAATTGGAAACAAATACATTGTAATTGAAATTTTTTATTTCAATTTTATTATGTTGACATTGCAATTAAACACAACTACAATTGTAATTCTAAACCAAATCTTAATAAACCTCTGAAACATGTAGGAATTTTTTTTTTAGGTAAATTTGGATAAAGACAAAGAGATCATGGTAAATACTTCTATAGAAAAATATAGAAGTAAATACAATTATATCCCAAATAAAATAAATTAGTGGAAACGGCCAAAGGATCACAAAGACTAATTGGCTAAAATTCAACATTTAGATCCCACCTTGGGCATGTAGCAACTTAATTATCGAGCTCATTTGAACATTCCTTTGGTGGTTTAGGTGCCCTTTCGTCTTCTATTTTTGATTTTTTTTTTAAATCGTAATAAAAAGCATGTTTGGTAACATGTTTAATTCTTGATTTTTGAAAATAGAACCAATATTTCAAAATTATTTGAAGTAAAAAATTCTTATTTTCATTATTTTCAAAAATAATATTATGTTTTTTACATTACTAAGACTAGGTGAATAGTATTTTTATTTATAAAATAATATTCATACATGTTAGCTTTATTCTAGTTTTAAAATGACAAAATTGATTGAACTAAATATGCTTTGAAAATGAATGGAATATGTTTTTGAATATGAAGAAAATTCGCAAGCATGTTTTGAAGTTGAGCTTAAAAAGAAAGATATATTGAAATGCTAAACTTGATTGAATATGCTTTGAAAGTAAGTGATAATGCTCTTAAACTTAAAAGAAGTGTTTCTAAGTTTTTCCAAAGATTTCTTGTTTTCAAACTCAAAGTGTCAGCCTAAGAATCGAATTCTCAAAAGCAAAGATTTGATTCCTAAATGAGAAGAAAGAAAAATTTATTTCCTTATCACAAGAAGAATCGATGCTAAAGATGTGAGAAGTCGCTTGTTAGTCGAGAGAAATAGTGAAGCATCAATTTTGAGAGAAAAAAAAGTCAATTTTATGAAAAACAAAAGCTATTGGAATTGAGAACCGACACCTCAAAGAGTAAGAATCAAGTTTAGGAAAATAAAAGGCAGAAATGCAAAGAAGAAAGAATCGATTCCCCAAATAGTAGAAGTGGGTTCTGAGTGAAGAATGAACTAAAGAGCATAAGTCCAAAGACTAAGAATCAATTCGACATGAAGAAGATATCGGTTCTTAAAGCACCAAAAGTAAGGATTAGAAACTTGGTGAACAAGAAAGAAATGGCGTGAATGGAAAAGATTTGAGTGTCAAAAGTCAGGTTAAAATTCAAATTTTGCTGCCAATCAATAATAAAGAACCAACCACTTGAGGTAGAAGAATCGATTCTCCAAAAATGCAAAGGTGTCACATTTGAACCATATTTTGGAAGAATCAACATCTCAAGAAAGAAAAATCAATTCTCTAGAGACAGAAAGTTCCAATCTTTATAAAGAACCAACATCTTAAAAAAGAAAAATCGATTCTTTAGAGACAAAAAGCTCCTGAGTTTATGAAGAATTGACAATTCATAATTAAAGAATCGATTCTCTACAGATGACAGAAATGTGCAAGTTGGTTGGATGGTAAGAAAATTGATTCAAATTTCACTCCAACGAGCAAGAAATTAGAAGGCCTATAAATATCTACTTTGAAAATATTAAAGGTGTGATTTTAAGCTTTCTTGAAAATTTTGAAAAAGATTTGAAGAGCCGAAAAAAGAAAAACTAGCAAGAGAGAAAAAAGTAGAAAAATCCTATCTTTAAGTAAGAGCAGAACCTAAAGATCACATTTTTATCCTTTAGCTAATATTTCTTGAGCCTAAACTTCATCTCATCATTCATTTCACTTGAGAAAGCTTTCATCTTTCTAAGCTTAAACATCCTATTAGCCTTCATATAGGTTTTAAGCTAGAGATTCTTTTGAAAATCTACTATTGTATTAGGTATACCTCCAAGAAAAAGGTAAAAAGGTTTGTCTAATTGTTTAAAAGGTTGTATCTTATGTAAAGGTTGTACTTGAACTTGAAAAAGGTAGTGTTTTGGTTGAGGTTATGCCTGATCTTGTGAAAAGGCATGTTATGAAGGTTACACTTGATCTTATTAAAAGGCTTGTTGTAAAAGTTACACTTGACCATATTGAAAAGGCAAGTTGATAGTGGATTCAAAGTCCTTGTGCTATCAAGGAAGAGGATGTAGGCATTGGGAGGCCAAACCTTTATAAAAATCCAGCTAAGCACTCTTTATCTTTCAACACTTTACTTGCATAACTTATACTTTGTTTTCACTGTTTTACATTAATTCCTAACCAATTCACCCCCCCTCTTGGTTACTTTAAGCTTATCATCCTAACAATTGGTATCAAAATAAGTTCTCAATTTTGCAAGTTTAACAACTTTTGAGAGATCTTGAAAAAAAGCTCAAAAGAGTAAAGATGGCATCTACATGTTTCATTGGTGAAGGACAATCTATGATGCGACTTCCTCTATTTAAAGGTGAGAACTACTTATTTTGGAGGATGAGGTTTAAAAATTTTAGATAATTTATTGATTTGGACCTTTAGGACATTGTTATTGATGGACCTTATGTTCCTAGTAAAACTGTTGATAGTATGAAACATGTTAAGACTAGAGCTACATGGGATGACAAGGATAAAAAGCTAATTTGTAACAATTGCTCCTCGATTACTAAAGGCGTCCGAGTCTCACGAGATAACCTATTAAGTTTCAAATAAGCCTTAATTAAAATCTTAGTCATTATGCCATCAATCCATGATATTACTTTGAACCATATACCTCTTTGCAATAAGAATAGAACATAAATCATAATGAGCTATCTGATCCTTTATTCACCATAATCGTAAGAATACATTAGAGTCTATAGTATCTAGCTGCATATTTACATTGACACTATTTACAAATACATCAAGCTAAGAATGACTCGACCTCTAGCAGTGGAGTGACTCGGAATAAAATTCTATGAGATGCCATTACCTATGTTGTAGCAAGTCTCGAGGTATTGAGCAATACACTTGACCTAATTACTTATTTGCAAAAGAAAGATAACGGAGTGTGTCTCACAGACTCAGTGATCATCAACTCCATAAGTAGGACGTAAATAGAAAACAAGCATAAGGCAGATATTTGAATGGTAACACCGGAATAAGAATAATAATCTTATAAAAATCAAATCATCAGTAGAGTGGTTGTGCCTTGTAATAAAAATAAAGCCGCAAAATCATAATGTAATATTGAGCTTGGCAAAATGGTGCCAAAAACATGTGTAGTAAAACAAAGTTCAATCATCGAAAACATCACTTGCCATAAAAATATGAATAACAGTATAAAAGTATGCACGCTCCCAAAATGCGTGGCATGTAAAGAAAATCAAAGTGTACAGCCACATAAACCATTTCATGATCATCAAGTAAGCACTGAAAGCTTTTATTCAAACAAAGGGAGCTACAGAGAAATCTTAACTCTCCACCATGCAAAAGAGTATGCATCGAAAAACTTGCAAGGCTCTCGAGTAGGTAAGCATCCTAATCAGCCATGGACCCACTTCCAAGTAATAACAATTCAAGAGCTTCGCTCCACTAGATTCCCACAGCCATGGCAGTCTCGATGATGTTGGCCAACATCAAAGAAATCAAGCGGTCACAATTGCGTATCACAACTAGTGGCCTAGCCACATATAATAACCCGTGGCCTTGCCATTTATAATCACAGACCATGGCCCCAGTCACCTCTAACAGCTCATTGGCAACCCAGAGGTTTTCTAGCTAGAGCTCACTTCTGTATAAGGGTCATACTATCCTGATGTGACATTCGACCTACTCTCGATGCTCTCAGTTTGTCAAAATCATTTTCAAAACCAAATCACATTTTTCGAGGCTTTTCCTTTAAATCGTTTAAAATCAAGGTTCGATAACCCTTTAAATTACTTTTCACATTAAATGGCATGGTGTAGACACTTTGTACAAAGATCGGAATAAAATCGGTGCTCAAAACTTACATTTTAAAACATTTAACAAATACATTTAGCTATGCATATCACACAAAAATACAAGGCAAGGATTTTGATGCAAACATCATAAAAAGGCTTGTTTCCTGATTTCTAAAACACTTTAGATATATAACTTACGTATAAATATATCCAAAACAACTTCAAAACAACTTGCATTCACAAGTTTCTATGGTTTCTACCAGCTTATGCTTTCCACAATAGCAATATATAAATCCTTGTAAATCTGTTTTAAAATTGCCTATCAAGGCTAACATCTCATACTATCCTTAATTGTACTTAAGAAAACTAATAATGTTTATTAACGTAAATCAATATATAGTATAGAAATTTTAAAATAGGCACCCCTTACTCACTTTAGAATAGCGGGACACTACATTGTTATCAATTCGGGTGTGTATCTATCTAATTCTACTCGTCGATCACCGAATACCTCCTCTGGCACG